TTTTCAACAGTATTATGTGGCAACACTGAAAATCCGATTTCTTCCTTCCCCAGAGTCTATTGAAGATATTGCTTGTTTTACTTGTGCTCATTTGTTTTCTCAACTAATGATTTCTGAACTAATACTCTAAAATCTGTATTTTTTTGTCATGTGGGGTCACTGAAATCCGTACTTAGTGTAGTGATTAATGATTGGACAAAGATCTTTTTACATATTTGGAAGCAATAAATCTCCTAGTCTTTGTTGAGGAGCACTTTGTGCATTTTGGATCACATCTTTAGTCCTTAGTCCTGCTGTTTAGAACTCCACCTTAGCCTTTGCTTTCTGCTTTTCCAGAAACCCAAGGTAAGCCAGAAATGAAAACCCAAGGCATTCTCAGATGTTTTCTGAAAATACACACAGCACTATTCTTATTGTTGTCCTACGATTCCTAGAAATATGTCAATGCTTTATACAGACCCTATGGATATCATTCCTAGCTTTCTTTTTTAAGTTTACTGTTTAGCCTATTGCTTGTCCCAACTGTTATCTATCACTTCAGGCAGCAACAAAGTAAAAACACTTGCCTGTAATTGTTTTTGACAAACTTCTCCCCCCTCTTCCCCCTCCAGCCCCTAAATAATGCCTTTTTTTTTTTTTTTTTTTTTTATGCTGGGTGAAATCTGAGTCAGCGTTTTATGTGGGCTCTTCCAGAGAACCACCAGCCAGGTCACATGACAATTCTTGGAAATGAGGCTTTCAAAGACCTCCAGTTTTGTTCTGCTTCTTCCAATGACTGATAAGCTGCTTTGGGAATGCAGGTTGCTATTTTTTAGTGCTACTGCTGAACTACAGAGCAGGCAATGGGACTCAGGCAAGTGAAAAATTCCACTAAGTTAAAAAAAGTTATTACAAATAGTCAGCTGTTTTTCCTGAATGAATGTTCCCTGAGTTGCTTTAAGCCTTGGTTAATTCAGGAATTAATGATCCAAAATCATGATTTTCACTTTTTTTTAAACCAGTTTTTCAGTGCTTTTATGGAAGGATGAATTTTCAGAAGCCTTTACTTGACTATTTTCAATGACATCACCTGGGATATGTCCTTAAATTATTAAAACTTTACTCTAATCTTACATGTACTATGATTTTATTATACTGAATATAACAAACTTAAAGGGCTTCATTAAATATACCACTCAATGTTTGTGAAATCATAAGTACCCAAACAAAAATAATTCAGTTCATCTAAATTTATGTTGGTTTTATTGAAAATTTTAGTTTACCAGAAAATTCTATTTTGTACTTATCAGTTGAGATGTTATGGTCACTTTTTTTGCCCTTTAGTACATGCTCCAATTTAAACCTAAATTTCACCTTACTTTTTTTTTTATTAAAGATTTTATTTATTTGACAGAGAGAGAGTCCACAAGCAGGGGGAGCAGGAGAGGGAGAAGCAGGCTCCTGCTGAGCATGGAGCCTGATGCAGGGCTTGATCCCAGGACTCTGGGATCACGACCTGAGCTGAAGGCAGACACTTAACCTACTGAGCCACCCAGGCACCCCTCATCTTCTTAATTGAAAACATGAAAGGGGAATTGGTTGGACTGACTATCAGAGTTTTACTAATTCCACACCCCCCCAACCCTCCTCTCCATTTTGGGATAAGACAATTTCCATTTTAAGGCAGTAGTCAATTTTGAGGCTTTTTTTGAATTATGAATCTTTGACTTTGCTTATAGTTGGAATATCTTTCACTCAGATTATCCCTGCTAATCCCACCTTCCACAGATATAATGGTATCATTTTTCTTGAAGAAAGCCAGTGGACACATCATAAGAAATAATGGATTGAGTTGATATAGGGTCAGGTTGCTGGGGGTAATCAATAGTAGAAGCAATAATTCCACCATTGATGACAGTTACAGTGGGACCAGTGAAGGGGTTGGCAACAGTCCTCAGATGACCTTTTTACACACATCAGGATCCATATCCTCACATTCAGTAAGCAGACTACCAAGAATGTGTGAGAGCAGGAGGAGAAATCTCCACATGGTAACTGAGAAAACCAGCTCTGAGTAACACATGCATTCAGAATTATTTGGGTGGGCTTAAGGAAAATTAAGAGTTCTGGAAAGTAAGTAAAATCAGAGCCATGGAAATCCTGTTTTGTATGTTTGGTTTTTGTGTGCATGCTTCTATTCTTACCAGTCTTATTTAACTTAGGAAACAAGATTTTTCTTCCTAACAGTAATGACATCAACTAACATTTATTGAGCACTAACTTTTTTCCAGGTGCTATTACACACTTAGCTGTATTAAATCAAATCCTCAAAACCCTTTTGTGGAAGGTCTGTTCTTATCAACTCAATTTTTAAAGAGGAGCAATCCGAGGCAAAGAGATTAGCAACTCACCCAGCATAATCGTATAATTATGAGTAGTAAGTTTTAAAGTCAGGATCTGAACATAGTTGAAACTATCCATACAACACCCTGCCTTCTAGAAATGCAAATACTATGAAATTATATAATTTTATTTAACTTAGCTGTGAAAGCAGAGTTAGTGCTAATGGTTATGTCCATTATTTAGGACTATCCATCATAGTTGTACAATCAGTTGGTGGCTGATGGTACAGAACAGCAATTCATTATTCTGCTCTCATTACTATGTTGGCTTCTCATTTCACTTAGAGTAAATGACAAAGTAGATTGATAGTATACAAGATTCTATATTTTCTGGCCCCCTCTCATTTTTCACATCCTCTTTCTTTCTTAAAAAACATTTATTTATTCTTTGTGAGAGAGAGAAAGAGAAAGAGAGCATGTAGAGGAGGGGCAGAGGGAGAGGGAGAGAGAGAATCTTAAGCACTCTGTGCTGAGCTTGGGGCCCGACTTGGGACTCAATCTCAGGAGCCTGAGGCCATGACCTGAGCTGAAACCAAGAGTCAGATGCTTAACTAACTGTGCCACCCAGTCACCCTCACATCCTCTTTCTATTTCCCTCTCCAATGCTACACATCTCTTTGATGCTTCTGAAAACCACCAGGCAAGCTCCAGCTTTTATCCCTGCCTAGAAACTATTCCCCCAGATATCAACATGGTTAACTCCTTCAATGTCCATGAGATTTTACTCAAACCTCACTTTTTTTTTTTTAAAGATTCCATTTATTTATTTGACAGAGACAGAGACAGAGACACACAGAGAGAGAGAGCACAAGCAGGGGAAACAGGAGAGGGAGAGGGAGAAGCAGACTCCCCGCTGAGCAGGGAGCCCAATGCAGGACTCGATCCCAGGACTCTGGGATCATGACCTGAGCCAAAGGCAGACGCCCAACCGACTGAGCCAGCCAGGCGCCCCAGCACCCCTTCTGTACTTCTATTCCCACTTATCCAGCTCTATTTTTCCCACAACATTGGCCACTCTCTATCTTGTATAATAAATACATAAATGTATGTTGTTTGTTGCCTGTTTCTGCTGCCAGAACACCAGTTCCACGAAGTGAGGAATCTGTCTTCCTCCACAGAGTAGGTGCTTATTTATTGAAAGAAAGAATAAATGCAATTTCTGAAAGTGAAAGAAACTCATGAATACTGGTGGATTTTAGCCCACTCTGGGTAGCATGATTCTCCAAAACTGTCTTTAAGTTTCATCCTTTGGACTTTGTACATGCTATATCACCCTTCTAGGTATTTTCCCTCCAGTTTTCTACTTGGAAACCCTGATCTTTCTGCTGATAGAACTCTTTCTAAGCAATTTTCTCAGAAATACTTAGCACTTTCTTTCCATGATCCCATGTAATGTGTGGTTCATAGCTTATTTCTAGTGCTTAAAACTAGGTGTTTTAATTTATCTTTTGACATGTTCCTAGCCATAGACTCGACCCCTCCCTAACCTAGAATATTTATCTCTCTTCTTTGTATCTATAGTACCTAGCACAGAGATTGATACACTGTCAACCCTTCAGTTAATGAAAGGAACAATGGCTATTTCTTTTTATCTATGCCAATGCCCTTACAGACTTAAAAGACTGATGCTTATGTTCATAAGGTCTTTTTTTAAAAAATATAATTGTCTAATCTCTGCAACTGGCATATGACATGTGTGTAGTTCTAGAGACCAAAGGCTTGAAACAGAATTGCTTAAACTTTCTTTACAGACAACATTTCTAAGTAGGATATAGCATCATATTTGGAAATCTGTCTAATGTCTGTAGGCTACTGTATTATTATGTATGTGCTCATACACACAGGCTGAAGGCTCAGGGATAGAAAGGGGTTGAGGGTAATGCTTAATTCCACTGAATAGTCATTCTGAAACACACTTCAAAAACAACCCCTTCTTCATTAAGAGATGTATGATCTGTCTCATAGGCATCTGTCTCTCTAGAGACTATAAACCATGCAAAGCAGCAACATCCATATTTTAGCAGACGCAATGAGAAGAGTAGCATAATCAAATTCTCATCATTTTTGTTTTAGTACAATTACCAGTATATGCAGAAGGATGAACTAGAATAGCTCCTGTGGAAATTTTTCAAGGAAAAATTAGCCAAGGGTGTAATGTATTGTGTGCCCTTGGGTAATCATGATCCTTCTCCCATGTTCCAAAAACCCTTATTTAAGTCAGTAATATATTTTCAGAATTACATAATTGTATTCAACCAATGGTAAAATACCAGTAGAGCAAACAGTGTACATTTTCTATTGATTTTTTTTTCAAATTTTTCTTAGAGAATTCTTTATGAGGTAACACAGAGAAAGCTACCAATATGTATATAAATACTCATTTTTTAAAGTTGTTTCACTTCTTCACTAAAAAAAAAAAATTCCATGTTTTCTTCTACACATTTCACTAAAACTAACTCTAAGGGAAAATTGTTATTTTTGAATTTATTTTTATGTAAAAATAATAATTTCCAAGGAGACCAACTTTGCTATTAAAGGTGTTTCCTTTGATTTGAGACAACTTCTTCTACATGGATCTAGAGTGATAACTGAGAGTGTAAAATATTAGTAGATACAAACCAACAAGGATGGAGTAGAGGATGCCTGGCCTATCTGATGGTGGCTGAATATTCTGGTCCTGGTCAACAGCTTGGATGGGCGGGGTAACGATGATGGGGTTCAGTTCTTCCTGGAAAAAAATTCAGAGAGTTTAGTTCAGCTTTATTATTAATGCCTCATGAAGAATCGACACTTGGATATTGGCTATTATAGTTTGGACATCTAGATAATATCTGAGCTAGTACTTAAACTCAGGTTTTAAGATCTGTAACTTAACATATTAGATTAATTAATTTTGAATCTGAAGAGGGAACAATGTGTCCTCAAGGTCAAAATGAAAAGACATAGTAATTACATACTTAGAACTTTCTATTAGGAATTTCTCCTAATAAGAAAGCAAGGAAGAAAGATATCAATAAAGTTTGAATCTTCCCTAGATAATTAAATCAAAAGAAATGTGAGGCTATCAAATATCATTTTTTATCTCTGTCTTTAGACAAGATTTGTAAGAATATTTACATTATTTTTCTTCCTACATCATGTTTTGAAGTTTCACATAAATTAATTACATTAAAATAAAATCTTTAAAAATTGATGCTTTAATTGAATAGTAATCAAAGCCCCATCACTGCAAATTTCATATAGTTAAAATTAATTCTATATCATGCATGTATGTACATTTAACTTATAATTAGCCATAAGAAGATGCTGTTTAAAATAGTAATATATTTGTCTAAGTCAGTGTTTCCCAATATGATGTCCAGTGGTATACTGTTCTGCTATCAGGATTGGCAAACATTTTTCTGTTAAGAACCAGATAATAAATATGTTTATGCTGTGCTGGACATAAAGTATCTGATTCAGCTTTTCAACTCTGCCACTGTAACTCAAAAGCAACAAGTGGGCATGACTATCTTGCAATAAAACTTTATTTACAAAAACAAATGGTGAGTAGGATGTGATTTGTTAACCCCTGTACTAAATTATAAATTATAATTTATAACAGGTATGCTGAAAAAACAAATGTGCACTCTGCACAGATAAGTTTGAGATACAGGGTATTAAATAAATTTTCACTCTACTCTACTGCAGGTCTTTTCAGAGGCTTATTGTGCTAATTGGCATAATGACTGTCCAAGAAGGGGGTTTATTTGCACATTTTCTAGAATCATCCATTTACATCTTGAACTCTTACACTCTCTTAGAACACAGTTTGAAATACTGCTTTAAGACTCTACAACACTCAGTCCAAATATAATAGCAATTTTAATGGGAAATAATGTCTATTTCAATATCTGACTTCACATTCTAAAGAATCACTGCAATGTTACTTTATGTTATTTCTTCTCAAATGATAGAACCTTGAAACATATCATGTACTTTTAAATAAAATCAGTAATGTCTAATCTCAGCAGAAACGTATAGTGGTGCCATGCTAAAAAAAGGCAATGATATTAAACTGTAATGTATGATACTTAATTTTGATTAAGTTATGTTAAGTGATATTAAGCATAGCTATAGTACTAAAATATATTAAGTTATTGAAGTTGCAATAATTAAAGATAATCATTGGCCAATAATGTGGAGCTCACATACATCTGAGGGGCTCTGCCCAGTTCATAATTTTAATGGGCTCTCAGTAGTCCAAAAGTTATTAATATCTTCCTAAAAACAAAGAGCTCCTGGTAGGGATAACTTTCTAATATTTTATTCACTTGTTGAAATGTGGATTCAGAACCATGAAAACGTCAAATCAATATCAAAATCACTCCATTAAATCCTGATGACTACTGTTTTGTTTTTGTTGTTGTTTTCACACAATAGAATACATTACAACATAACACTTCCTTTGCTCCCTGTTTCTGTCCCTCTTTCTCTGTTTTGCTCTCTCTCTCCTCTCCCCCCACCCCAAACTTTCTCTCTGTCACTCACACAGACACACACACAGCTTCCCAATTTCCATTTTACTTCCTCTGTAATCTGGGATTTCTCCTGGAACTGAAAAAAATCCAAAGCTCTTTAAAGTATGTATGTTTGAATGCAGGAGTTAAGGGCTGATAGCTCATCCTAGACATATTTCAAAGGAATCTGACAGCTAAAGTCACCATACAGCTAAGCTACTTCAGTCTGGTTCAACTAGTAAATCTGTGGTAGCTTTTCCCAAAGTACAGTTCTATTCAGACCTTGCGAAGGTATTTTAAATCTCAGGATTTTTTCGCAACCCCATTCTCCTTCCTATGCTCAGAGAAATATACTAAGGGATCCTAGGTTCCTGCTGTTGGAAATAACTTACCCAGAATTAACAAAAATTGAATCTGTGCACAGATAACTTGAGAGTCTCTCTGCTGAACATCTTCACTCCACTATTTCTGTAGAGCTGCTAAGTGACCAACACATATGTGGTTTTAGTTTTGGTAATGAGTCACATAGTTTAAAATCCTCTTCCTATAAAATCTAAAGTTGTTGGGATGAGCAATGGAGTTTTAGTCATATTATTTAAAATTATACGAACAATAGAAAAAACTAAACATAACATGGTAAACAAAACCAAGAGTGAGGGAGAGGTGCTAATAAGATTGCTCAATGTTCATAGTTGGTTATTAATAAATATATGGTGAGAACTGAAGAAATAGAAGCCAGTGTGCTATTTAGAATCAGAAGAATTAAAAATGGAAACAGCAAAATGTTGATGACTCAGGAGAGTGGGTCTAGGAGTGAAGGTAGGTGGGATGAAAGGTATTTATTTAAAGTCATTTGGTCCCGTGTTACTATGTAGTTACCATACTCTGAACTACTTTTAATATTACAAATACAAAAATTGTACTAGTGAGAATAAAATTAACCCTCTGGGTGAAGGCTTCATTAAGTTTCTGGAAATTCGGGAGAAGCATAGCTATCTTAAATAACTTGTTAGGACTGACTTTTGTCTTGTGCTATCTTAAGAAAAACTATTTTTCCTTTTCTTTAAAGATTTATTCATTCATTTTAGAGTGAGAGAACAAGAAAAAGCATGAGCAAGGGAAGGGGCAAGGGGAAAGGGAAAGAGACAATCTCCAGCAGATTCCCCACTGATAGAGGAGCCCCATGCAGGACTCAATCTCACGATCCTAAGATCATGACCTGAGCTGAAATCAAGAGTCCAATGCGCAACCAAATGAGCCACTCAGATGCCCCAGAAAAATTATTTTTCTTATGCTACCATTAATGAGTTTTTCAGAAAATCTAGGTTTAAAGGTGAAAAGAATGAGTTCTCAGATATAATGTCTAAGATTATCTCCCAAGTAGATGGGGATCTTTGAATCTTGAGAATTTTTAACACTAGCAACACATAACATAAAAGGATGCTGTGTTTTGTTTAGAATGATACTGTTAAAATATTTAATATATTTTTCATAAAGATAAGTAACATTTAAACCAGAGTACGGAAATTATACATTCATTCATTAGGAGAAACAACATAGTAACATGCATCATTTTTTGAACTTTTCTCTCACCAAAAAACCTCTATATTAGATGCAGCCAGGCATTGGAAGGGCATACAAATAAGCAAGAAAATCCCAGAGGGATACAATTCCTTAGAATAAGCAAGAATTTTATGGAAAAAAACATGTAGGGACACGTGGGGGGCTCAGTCGGTTAAGCATCTGGCTTTGGCTCAGGTCATGATCTCAGGATCCTGGAATCGAGTCCCTCATTGGGCTCCTTGCTCAGCAGGGAGTCTGCTTCTCCCTCTGCCTCTTCCCTCCCCCACCTCCTCTCTCTCTCTCTCTCAAATAAATAAATAAAACCTTAAAAAAAAAGGAAAAGAAACAAACAAACGTGTAATCATTTACAGGGTTGGCAAACAATATATATTCATTTAATACATTTTTTGTCAATTTGTATTCTACTGAATTACACAGCCTGGTAAGAGATCACTACTCTCAAGAAGGCTCTAAGGCGGGGTGCCTGGGTGGCTCAGTCGTTAAGCGTCTGCCTTCGGCTCAGGTCATGATCCCAGGGTTCTGGGATCGAGCCCCGCATCGGGCTCCCTGCTCTGCGGGGAGCCTGCTTCTCCCTCACCCTCTGCTTGCCTCTCTGCCTACTTGTGCTTTCCCTCTTTCTCTCTTTGTCAAATAAATAAAGAAAATCTTTAAAAAAAATATGCTTGGGTGTCCTTAAGGAAAGGATTAAGAGGTTCCTCTATGATGGTATAATTATTGGAATCACTCTTCACTGAAAACTCTGTTGGCAGGTGCGCACAAATATAACCCACAGCCTAGTGCGAACAGTTTGCAACATATTTGATTCATCAAGTTGAATTCTAGGAGTTACATTAAAAAGGCACCCAAACACCTTGCCCCTAAAGCAAATCTGCCTTCTCTCAGTCTTATTTGTCTTTGAATAGTCATGTCTCCTAAATTCTGTTCACACTAATAGGTGCATGTTACAAGTGCACAGAATAGCAGGCTCTCATTTCACTGCTGCTTGATTCAGCAGAGTTAAATTCCTGACATATTTAGTAATGGCAATTCACCTCTAAAATGAATTAAGTCCATGTAACGAGATTCATGTTGTGAGGATAATCATAGAATCCATTAAAGAGTAACAAAAAGATTGTCTACAGTCAAAATTCTCTATGATTCTATGATTGTAAGACCCAAGATTATTCTGCTAGGGACCCATGCTTCATGTTGATTAGGTGGTCTGGAGAGGTGCCTTGTCTTTTCAATAGATCTAAGACCATGTTTTCATGTTCAACTGTTGAATTCTTTTGAGAAAATAACAGGAGGCAATTAGAGGGTTGGGTCTGTGAGGGTTAGTTATTCCTGCTACGAGTTTCAGTCCCAATTCTGCTATTGTATGTTTATGTGTAGATATACCTGTATCTATTTATAAAGATAATAAGTAAAAATGTATTCACAAGCAATCACAAAAGAAGATTAAGGGACCTGTTCTGTAGATTTAAGGAAGCCCCAGCTCTTTGTTCTTTTAGGTGTTCAAACTACTACCTTGCATAAAAAATACATTCAAGGGAAATGCCTAGATTTCGGAGGTAGGATACTTTTGCTATTTTAACCAGCGTCAGACAAAGAAGATTCATGGTCTGCAGGACTGTAAGATTCAGACTATACCACCCCGAAAGTTAAA